ACTCTGACTGCAAAGCTGTCTTCCAAACAGGAGGGTTTAAAACTGTCCTTAAAGGCCCTGGAGAGCCAMAAGAGGAGATTCAAGATACTTCAAATAACGAAGCTCTCTGCTCCTTGAGGATTTTTGCACTGAAACCATGTGAAACAACTTTTTTTTTTTCTTAATAAAGGATTCGGTTTGAACATTGTTACATTTATTTCATATTCCACRAAGGCCTTACTGTGAAGTAGAGGAGGATGGCGGCTGGAGAAAAAGCCACTGAATTTAGAAATGGGGAGCCTAATGGTGGCCTGGGTACAGGGGGTCAGCACACTTTGGTTGCTAGCAACAGAAACCAACTCGCTATAGTAAGCCGAGATGGTATTGAAATTCACGATGAAAGCAACATTGAAGGAGCTTTTCGAAATGCACTCAGGAGGCCACTGGGAAGCYGTCCCTGTGCACTTTTCAAACTGGTGCTAGGAATGTGAACTTTGGTTACCCTTGCCCTTTGACTGCAGGCATCTTGAACAGGTGATTGCATTGTGCCGGGAGACTCAACGTGTGCCTATCGAGAGGTTTCTGGACCTTTGTTTTATGGACAGTTTTAACTAAGCATAAACATTCTTTTCTTTATCTTCCATGGGTTACACTAGCCTCTGTTATTCAGTACCGGATCTTTCTCAATTTCAATAGAATTCCCTACAGAGAGATTCTACCTCTTTCTACTGTTTGCCCATTTAAGCTCTGACTTCTTTGGAACATTGACTCAGAACTCTCTGAACCTGTGTCTCCTGAGTTACAATTACAAAGACCTCAAATAAACACCTCTTTACTTCTGCAGTTGCTACGTTTGCACTGATCAACAAAGAAACTTAGGACAGTGGTGCGGAGATGTACTGGGTATCCATTCTCTCTTCCTAACAGCTCCTTTAAGTTAGCTAGGGCTGAATTCAAATACTTGCAACCAATAGCACTAACTGATTGGGGTTAGCTCACAGAACTGAAGGGAAACCTGCTTTGGAAAGGATGGTAAACAAGGAAGAACTGAGGCCTTCTCCCGGCACCTCTGAAAGAGCCCAGGTCTTTCGTCCTTCCTTGTTCAAGATGAAAATTCCAGGGACAACATCTGATCAGCTATTCTGTGGGGACAGATCAGGCACTTTGATTGACAGTCCCCCCTGCCCTACTATCCTGGTAGACGAAGTTTCACTTTGCCAAACCCAGATCAGGGCACTTTATCAGAAAAAGGATAAACAGATGGTAGGTGACAAAACAAAATAGCCAATATCCCCAGAAAGAGAGGASAGAGAGAGGTTTCCATAAAATGAAATTTGATTGAGTCCAACAGTTTAAGAGGACAAGGCTCCATTGTGTAGTTAAAGACAGCTGTTAGTTCCTGGGAATTTCTCAAATCTTCACCATTAACTTGTTTACGGTCACTTTAGAGTAGGCGTGGCCACAGGTGACTAACGTTGCCTCCCTTTATAAACTTTTCCTTCTTTCCTTTACTATTTCCTTCCTCTTCTTCCTTGATAAATATTGCTTTACACTCATGAAGTCATGTCCAAAGTTTTGGATGTATCATCTATTTTAACCTTGGATGGTTCTGTGTGTGCAAATGCGTCTGTGTGTGTGATAGTGAAATAACTGGGACTGCATGAGCAAAACGTATTGCTATCTTCCTTCTGATTGACTGGCTGTGTTCCCTTCGGCCAATCACTTTGTCTACCTGAATCTCCACTTCTTTACCCGTAAGATACTCGGTAAGATTTTTACATACATGCAAGCTTACTACATGCTCATCCACAGGTTACAAGGTAAATGACCTCTCTGGACCAGCAGGTAATATCAACYGAAGTAGCTGGGGGCAGGGCATGTGAGACAATCAGGAACGGTGGGGATAATGGGGAAATGGAAAGAATGCTTCTTTCATAAAGAGAGTGGCTTCTTTTAACTCTAGGTCACAACATTCATAGTGTGGTCTCTTAACTAGCGGTATCACCTGGAAACCTCTCAAATGCACATTTCTATCCCAGGCCAATTCATCAAAACTCAGGGGAGTGCCAGGCACAGCGGTGCACATCTATAATTCCAGTGACTCTGGAGGCTGAGGCAGGATGATCGTAAGTTTGAGGCCAGCCTCAGAAATTTAGCAAGACTCGGCAACTTACCAAGACCCTGTCTTAAAATAAAAAATAAAAAGGAATGAGGACTGTAGCTCAGTGGTAAAGCACCCCTGGGTTCTAACTCCAGTATCAAAAATAAAAACAGAAACCAAAAACCCTGCAAAACCTCTGGGGGTGGGGTGGGGTGCTGCAACCAGTGTTTGAACAAGCCCTCCAAGTGACTCTCACACAGGCTGCTCTGAGACCACACTGTACCCGAGGGCTGCTATGTACAGGCTGAGGACCGGGCTGCCAGGTCTTGTACTTTTTCCAAGAGAAAAAAAGAGGTTTATTTTTATGTGAAATTCCCCACGTTTAAATCTTGGCAACTAATTTAAATTTTAAAAATGTTCTGTGTGGGCTAACGATACATGTGCTRTAGCTGGATTTGCCGCCTCTGGTCTCTGCTCTTCCCTTTCATCCTTAGAATAATCTTATGAGATGTCATGGTGTGCTCATTTTGTGGAGGAAGACGTAGGTCCTAAAAGTGAAGTGCTCCTCGGAGTYACAGCCAGAAAATGGCTAACCCCTTCGTGAGACCGGGATGCATTTGGTTTTAAAGTCTCTGCTCTTTTTACTTATGCAAAAGAGAAAACAATATGACTTTTCATATTGTGGCTCTGACACCGCAAAAACTAAACATCTGCTGCCATCGACCTATGAAATGTTCTTTCCATCCTTCTACCACCCCACCCCACTTCCTGAGCCTCACACTAATCCGCATTCTTTTAAGAGTGAGCCAGTCAGCAAGGGGGGGGGGGCTCTGAAGAGGTGGGAGGGGCGAGGCTGGCGGTTTCYTGGCCAGGGGGTGCTGGATAGGTCCTGGACAATCAGCCAGCAGCCTGCTGGGCCATAGGCTGAACCCAGGGGCTCACCACAGTGTCCTCTGCGGTGCCCTGAGTGTCGGGAGTTTGCCCAGGGCTGTGTCTCCCCCTGGCTCTCGCCCTCATGGCTGTTGACTGTTCTGAGCTCCGAGCAAATAGTCCTGGCCCCTCCCTGCAACGGCATGTGTCCAGGGCTGAGGCTGGGCCTGGGAAGCTGGGGGAGACATTCTCAGACTCTTTCATGGACACCCATCATGGGAACGGTGGCTCATTGTACCCACATCAGCAAACTACTCACCCGTCCTCCTGATTTTCATTGTTCCTGACCCCGCTAGCCACCAGCAGCAAAGACTTCCCTGGCTTTCCAGAACCTCAGATTACTGGAGCAAGAAAAATGTTTGAAGGCACTTCTTTCTAACTCCCTTGGCAACCGTTTTGACATTTACCACCCTGGATTCTAAAGCTCAGTACATACAGTTGTCCCTAAGTATCTGCAGGGGATGGGTTCCCGGATCCCTGTGTATATCCACCCACAGATGCTCAAATCCTGCATATAAATAGGAGCAATATTTGGATATAGCCTGGGAGCATTTCACATGTACTCTGAATCCTGTATAATTGCTTAGAATACCTACTGCAATGAAAATGCTATGGAAGTGGGTGTATACTGTATTGTTTAGGGAATAGTGGAAAGAAACAAGTGTGTACACATTCAGTACAGGTGCATTTTTTTTCCCAAGTGTTTTTCAACCAATGTTGGTTGAATGCAAGATCATGGAAGCCACAGATGTGGAGGGAGAGGAGGGGAGGCTGTACTAAACAGTCTCCTTACCTGTTACTGAGCACTAGAGGCCACTTATGTAGCACCTATTGAGTGCCAGGCCTGGGGTTCCTATGTCAATCAGTGTGAACTTACCTACCAGGAGTACATAYGTATTCCACGGCAGGTCCATTAATGTTGAAGACGAATGTTTATGTTATAGATGACAAAATGGTCGTTCTGAAGGGAGAAGTAAGTCACTTGAAGACCCTCGGGTGGAAAGTGATGGAGGTGTGTCAAACCTAGACACCAGAGCTCAGTGACTCCTATGGACTACTTTCTCCATCCCAAGTGCCCATGTGTGTATACACCCGGCGAATATTTATGATGGAGTGGGAAAAAAAGGCCCCCAAACAAGGCCTGCAGGGAGAGATCTGGGGTGAAATAGACTTGTCTGCACAGCTTTGCATGGGACCTTGGTGGGGGGTGCGGTCCTAAACCTCTGTACATCACTTTATTGTATTCAGTTGGCAAGAATAACCCTCTTGTCAAAGGCTGCTGGGAAGATCCAGGAGCACAGGAGCACRGTACCTGGGGGCAGTCAACCCCGATTGAGTGGTTGACTCAATAGAAATGCACCCAGCATGGCTGGGAACTGCTGACAGTCTTCCACCTCCAGGGGCCTGTTCCTTGTCAGATGGGTTCATTTATCCCCGACAGGCGYCATTTCTACAGCCTGCACTATGTGCTCCGCATCACCCCTCAGYCCTCCACCACCAATCCTTAAACAGGGATCTGCACTCTGATCCCACTGACCCCAAGTCCAATCGCTTAATCCTCAGGGTCTCTTGCCTCCCTGTGGCCTTGCTCTTTCCCCCTCCAACCCTCAGCCTTGGACATACCAGGAGGASTCCAGTGGAGCCCTGGGCTTGGACTGCGCTGGCTTCCCGCTGCCCTACCCTGCCCTCAGGCCCCAGGAGGGAGGAAAGGAGGGGGGAGCGGACAAGGGTCCGGCTGCAGCTGGTCGAGTTGCTCCTGGCCTGGAAGCTGCTTAGGTTCCTGGTTCCCACCGGGGCCAAGAGTGACACCTGATCCCGGGGGATTGTGAAATGGCATGAGGTGGCAGTGCTCCCGCTGTGCCCATTGGGCTCTTAGGCCCCCACCGCACCCCCTAGCTCGGCCCCGCCCCTGCCCCACGCCCCCCGCGCKCGCGGTTAAATCCCCCCACCCGGCTGCAGCTGCACCTGCACCCCGCCCCGGCGCAGCACCATGCCTGTCCCTCGCCTCTGCGCGCTGGCCGCCGCCCTCCTCCTTGGACTGCTGCTGCTGGGCCTCCCTCCGGCTTCAGGTGAGTGGGGCGGGGAAAGACCGGGTGCCCAAAGGGCCGAGCCACCTGCGCAAGACCGAGTCAGGCAGAGGTGTAGCYTCGCTGGGGGCTGGGGAAGTGGGGGTTCTTGGGGCGGAAGTGGGGACACCCATGAAAACTAAGATTTGGTGATCTCTGGGGCCTAAAGCTAGTGACCCTTGGAGCTCGGGTGTGGAGCCTGGGGGTGGCGAGACTACCAGGGGCTGAAATTTGGAGGGGCGGGGCGGGTGCAGAGGGCGGAGACGGTGGCTGCCCTGGAGCCGGGAGCCGTCTAGACGCAGGAGTCTCCCAGGCGCTCAGGTGTGCAGTCCCCTGAGGACTGAGATTTGAGGATTTGAAGCCACGCCTGGGGACCTCCTGTATTCCCAGGGTTGGGGAACCCCTGCCAGGTCTTGATGGGATGGTGTGGGCCTCTAGGAGCTTTTAGAGGGTCCCCAGGGCCGGAAAGTGAGAAGGCCAAGGAACTGAGATTTGGGGGTCCTTGGAGTGGGAAGCGGGCATCCTCTGGGACTGGGGCCCCCGACTGACCCTCCTCCTGCCCTGGCCCGTCCGCAGGCGCGGGGGAGAGGGCGGGCGTGTGCCCGCAGCTGCCGGCGGACGTGAACTGCACCAAGGAGTGCCTCTCGGACAGCGACTGCGCCGACTACCGCAAGTGCTGCCRGGCCGGCTGCGGCTCCGTGTGCTCCGTTCCCAACGGTAGCCCCCGGCCACCCGGCGGGGACGGGGCGGGGCCGCGGAGGAGGCGGGAGGCGGGAGCGCCGCGTCCTGGGAAGGAGGGCGCCCCTGCACCCGGGGACCCCGGAAGGTCCGGGCGGGTGAACCAGATCCGTCCCCGCCGTCCTCCCCGCGTGGGCGGCGGGAGGACAAAGCGTCGCCGGAGCCAGGCGGAGGGCGAGGGCGGTCCCCTCACCCTGGCTGGATTCGGTTCTCTGGTGCGTGACGGCTTCCGGGCACGCGCAGCGGGACACTGTTCCGGGCAGCCTGGGGACCCGCTGCGCTTCCTTCCCGGCCGGCCAGGGCCTGCGGGAATCCCGGGCGGCCTCGGAGCTGGACCCGAGGTCCCGACGCCCGGCTCTCAGCTGTCCTCCCCTGGGCCTCCCCACCCTGGGGACCAGGGCTAGCAGCCCGGGCCGGCGAGACTCGCAGGTTCCTCCCTCTAAAACTTCCCAGATTTAATGAGCCCACATCTTGACCTGTAGACGCGAGCCGCGGAGGGAGCCGTGGTCCTGCCCAAGGTCGCAGTGCCATCCCGTGGCTGAGAGTTCAAGTTTTTACAATTTATTTTTTTTGTGTTTGCTATTTACTGGTGAGAGGACCTCTCCCTGGGCACCGTATCCTCCTTCTTAATCTTTAAATTTATCTCTCTCTTCCACCCTAAGTACCCAGAAAGGGTGCCACGGTGCTCCGTCGGGTGCTCGCTGGGGCGCTACTCTCTGCACCAGGCTGTGAACTCTGATCAGGGCGAGATGTGGCCTTGGCATGGAATCCAGGCTTCTCATTTCCCAAAGGGAAAAACACGAAAAGCAGGGATACCATCTGGGGGAAGGGGCGTGCGTGGGAGGGCGGCGTGGGAGACCAAGGTACTGTGATTACTGGTCTTTATCCAGAATACAGCCTCTGCGATTTTTCCTCTTGGTTATTTCCCCATCAAAATGCCAGCCCAAGCTGGGAAATGGGAGACCCGGGACCCGTGAGGAGGGCAGAGGGAGGTGGAGGCGGGCTTGCCCACTAGGGGGCAGCATCTCGGTGTGGAGACCTAGTGTGGACCTGAGAGGGAGGACCAGAAGACATGAGGACTGGGAGAGGAGGTCAGAGGCAGAGMCAGGTGGAGGGGCAAGAGGTGTCCTGTTGTTGGGTGGATAAAGAGGCACAGGCCAGAGAGCTGCCTGGGCCGGGGGAGGAGCCCGGAGGCTGGAATCCCAGYCCTGGCCTTTCCAGGTGTGTGATCTTGAGCAAGGTGCTTTATCTCTGAGCTTCTGCTTTCTTGTTTGCACAGTGGGATTGATATGAGGGCTAAATGAAGTGGACATGGAAGTGTCCCATTGATGCGGGGACATTCTGTGTACTTAACAGAGCTCTTCCTTGTTTATGCCCTTTTAGTCCCAGGGCCACCTGTTATTGAGAGCGTCTGCCCTTTTCAAGGGAATGGGTTTCTTTGTGAGGGAGTCAGGACTCGGTCAACCAGGCTTGAGGTCACCTTCAGCCAATCAACAAGTTCTGGGCCTAATTTTACATTTGGCTGATCCTGGCTTCCTTCTCCCTGACCCAGAAGTAGAGTGGTGTGTGTGTGTGTGTGTGTGTGTGTGTGTGTGTGTGTATTATAGAAGGCTGGGCTCAGGTCTTAGTTTACTCCTGAGCAGCAGGGTGCTGCTGGGTGGCACCTCTCTAGGCCATGTTTTTCTCATGCATGATATAAATAGGGTTAGAAATATCCCCTATGGCTGGGTGTGATGGCCCATGCCTATACCCATGCCTCCCATTGACCTGGGAGGCTGTGGTAGGAGGATTGCCAGTTCGAGGCCAGCCATAGCAACTTAGCAAGACCCTAAGCAATTTAGCAAGACTCTGACTCTAAAGAAAAAAAAATATGTGTGTGTGTGTGTATGTGTGTGTATATATATATATGTGTGTGTGTGTGTGTGTGTGTATATATATATATATATATATATATATATATATATGAATGAATGAAGGCTGGGGTGTGGTTCAGTGGTAAAGTGCCTCTGAGTTTAATTCCTTTTACTAAATAAATAAATAAATAAAAGAAAAAGAAAGGAGAAATAAAAAAGGGAATATCCCCTACAATGGAAATGGAATGGTTCATGTGAAGATTAAAGGAGATAACAGGTTTCCATAGAGAGCACACAGCACATCTCCGCAGTGTTTGCTCTAGTGTGCATGTGTGTAAGGATGTGTGGTTTTATCTGTGCATTAAGTATGGAGGGCCACGGTGCTGAGTGATTTTGATTGGCAGTGAGTCAGTGGAAGTAAGTGAAGAGAAGGTTGAGTGTGTAACTCCTCTCGTGTGCTCAGCCCATTGGGTGATCCTGCACTGTGTCACCAGCCGTGCCAGGTGCTGGTTTTAGCAGCAGGTGTGCAGGGGGCTGGCACACACACTCTGAAGCTAGATGTCCTGCGCGGTTCAAATCTTGCCTCAGTCCTGTGTGACCTTAGACAACTTAACCTTCTCTGTTAAGGAAGCAGCTGAGCCCCAGGTAGGAAAGCAGGAGCATTCCCTTCCTGGGGCTCTTTCTTTGCCTCAGTTTCCTCCTCTGCAACACGAGGAACTATTAACAGACCCSTCCTCCTCTCCTAGGGATTTTGTGAGATTCGAATGAGCTAATATGTGTCAAGTGCTTAGAATAAAGCCTGGCCGACAGCAGGAGTGAAGTCATTTTAATAACTACTCATTATTATTACAAAGTAGTTTGCTCTTTGGGGGGAGAAACAATGTATGTTTGCTTCCATTGCTTTTGCAACCACCCCCTGAGGTGCGTGACACTGACACCTGAGGCAGGAGGGATTTCTGGCCCCAGTCCACAAAYGGCAGAGCAGGGACTCAACTGGGGGCTTCTGATTCTGAAGCCATCTGGGAGCAGAAGGACGGAACTGCAGGTGACTTCCCTGGCTCAGGCCCCCACAATCAGAATTCCCAGGCAGCTCCGCTGTTTATGAGTCAGGGTGAGGGCTGTGGTGGATCCTGCTCTGGCCGTCACCTCTCTGCCCCCCTTTGACCTGCCTCCTCTTACTCCTTTTTCTACCCAGAGAAGCCAGGTTCCTGCCCCAATGTGGACTTACCCCAGCTTGGCATCTGCCAGGACCAGTGCCAGGAGGACAGCCAGTGTACTGGTCCCATGAAATGCTGCCGCAATGGCTGCGGAAAGGTGTCCTGTGTCACACCCGACCCCTGAGGTAGGTGGGCAGAGAGGAAGGTCAGGCATCGGAATCCAAGGACGACGGTACCCTCGGCAGGTGAAGCGGGAGACCTGTGCACATGGAGCTCACGCGCTGGACTATTTACTTTAATTCGTCCACAGTTACTGATTGAGTCGTGTGCTCTGACCACTCTGGGGCTCTGGGGATGCTCCATGAGTGAACAAATTGACAAAAATGTCTCTCGGGTGGGGTTTACAGTCCAGTGGGTGATAAACCAAGTAAGTCAGCAAACAGATTTTGCAGCATGTTACACGGAGAAAGGGCCCAGGGGAGGGGAAGACAGGGGACAGCAAGTGAAGGCCTCACCAAGAAAGTGGGAAATGAGGGAGCACCCTGTGGGGATGTCCAGGAGCGTCAGGTACAGGGACGGTGGGTGCTAAGGCAGGAGCATCCCTGGGGTGGATCAGGGTGCAGGCAGGGCAAAGAGGTGGCTGGGATGGAATGTGCTGAAGGCAGGTGGGGCAGAAACAAACCAAACGCTTGGTTGGCCCGTTGGGTGACCCTGCCCTGTGTCACCAGCCATGCCAGGTGCTGGGACACAAAAGTGACCATTGCCCATCCCCAGAGCTTGAAGCCCAGGAGCTGAGGCGGATGGGTGGATGACATGCCTCGTGCCCAGAGTCAGCTCCTGGTGCCGTGGGAAACAGAAACATCACGCAGACGGGTGGGGGAGGTGGACAGATGGAGCAGACCAATGGGGGGGCTTCCCGGGGAGGTGACCTGAGCCACAACTAAAAGGTGAGTAAAAGGTAGGTGGCCCTGTGCAGTGCAGTGGGAGAGTCGTTGCAGGCAGAGGGAACCAGAGGAACTTGGAAGTGCCCTTTGGTTGAACACAGTTTCAGCAAAGGAACCTGAGGGTCACGGATGAAACCCATTGAGTGCGMAGAGGAGAGACCTGAAGCCTTGAGAGGGAGGACCTGCCCCAGGTCCTGCGGTTTCAAAATGTGCTCTTTAGTGGYTAAGAGGGAGCCATGGTTTCCCGGGGCCCAGAGCTCTCCTCTGGTGCCAGCCACATGGGTGGGTTTTGCAGGCAGGAAGACCCAGGTTCACATTTCAGCTCTGACATGTAACTGGCCTTCTCACCTCCCCAAGCCACAACTGTTTTGCTTCTAGAATGTGAATAAATGAGATCTATTTGACCAGCTCATCTCAGCTTAGTGTGTGCCATGACACCGAAATGGCAGTTCCTGGCGGTAGAGGGATTCCTAGCRGGGTGAAGGCCCACCGTCCCTCAGGAAGGCCACAGTGGTCAGTCAGGACAGGATATACCCAGGTGCGTCCTGGGGATGATGGGAAGCAGAAGAGATGAATCTAGAACCTTCAGGAAATTGCAAGCAGTTGAAACTTTGCTGTGTATGAGTGGGATGGTGGGTTGGGAGGAGTCGGTCCAGGATTTATATGGCTGCTACTCCTGTCCAGTGTGATGGATGTCATTTTTGATGCTATTGTTACGATTCTTTTCCTCCAGCTCCAGCCACCACCAGCCTGAGGAGTGGGGAGGGGAAGCTTCTGCCTGGCCACACATCCGGCCCCTCGTGGCCACCCTCCCTTCTGGGTAGCCCCTGCACTCCTTCCTGGGCTGACCATGGCTTCTCCCTTCTCCCGCCAATAAAGTGACTGCTTTCAGCATTGGTGACATCATAGCTTCTGTTCTTATCATCCTGTCCCTGTTTCCTGACACTTGGGTTGGGGTGGGTGGGGCAACCAGATGGTCCAGGCGTGAAGTCCAGGGAGGGCTTAGCTCTGACCCATGGATTTAGGCCTTGTCTCCACATGTCAGCGTTTTCCTGGTGAATGTGTCACCTGTGAGGTTGGTCACTGTCCTCCAAAGGTGATGAATGAGAAAAGAGGTCAGAGAAGAGATGGAGTGCCTCCAAAGTCGCTCCGATTCACAGCTGGGCATCCGATGATAGCAGCAGCATGTGCCATGTGCCAAACACTCCTGGCTTCTCAGAATTCTCAGAATAATTAATAACCAGTTACAGAGTGGGACTCCAAGAGGTTACTTACCCCAGACCACACAGAAAGAAGGTGGCGCCGCTGGAGCTCAGATCTGATTTTCAGAGTGACTCYGAGGTCTATATGTGTTGCTCATACAGAGCGCAGCACAGTGCCCGGCAGGATGTATGACGGTGAGTGTTCCTTGGACAGTGGGTAACGGCTTGGGTGGGCTTGAAGAGAGCCCTTGAATGAGCCTGGCTGGTGGAGGGGATGTCCAGGTGTACATGCCTGCCTCCATCCTGCCCTCCAGTCCTGAGGGGAGTCTGAGAGAATGATGGGGAGAGCTGCGCCGTGCATGGGAAGGGACACTTTGGGATTAGGGGTGTCCCCATCTTTGGGTCTCGTTGATTCCTCTCGAAATAAATGAAAAGAGAACCTCATGTTTTTCTCCTCTCCCTCCAACTAGTAGCCATTGTCTTTGCTTAAGGCAAACCAAGGCACCCTAGGACCAGGCTTTGTAGTCCTCTCCAGTGTGGCAGGAAGGTGTGGCATGGCCTAGTGGACAGGGACTTTCACACAAATTCACTCATTTTCWTTTAAAAGTGGTCTCAAATTCCTTCAAGCCCCCCCTTCTCTCCCTTCCTTTCCCAGTCTGTGTTTCCTTTATCCGTGTCACAAGACTCCAGAAACCCTTTCCTTATCTAATTTAAGCCCTTTAAATACCAGGTTTCCACATCCACTCCCCTCCCCCTTCCAAAGCTTCATCTTCCAGCGGGTGCAGCAGTGATTCACAGGAAGCTGAGAATGGCTCTCTAGAATTCTGTGCCCACGTGTGTGTGTGTGTGTGTGTGTTTTACAGAGAAACTCTTGAGACTTTAAACAGGATGTCCACATTTGTATTATTTCAGGCCCAGAGATGAAATGGTCTTAGGAACACGTGGGGACAATGAATCTCTCATGATGAAGGGGGTTGAAATGCCTCTAACAGCCTGGTGCAATCCTGACTCCGGGGCGGGCTGTGTTCTCCTGAGGAAGTCACGTGGTTTTGCAGGCTTCCTCACACAGAATTTTCTCCCTAAACCTGTTGTCATTTCCTTCGCAGCCCCCGTAGAGAAACGGCTCACACTGGTTTTCCTCCATTTTGTAATACCATCTGAACAAGCCCGCGCGACAGGAGCCCTTCTCCAGAGGCAGACTGCATATACTCGGATCTACAGAGAGAAAGCAGTTGAGGGCGGCCAGACCGTCCCCTTCCCCTGGTCCAAACCCCTTTGTCAGGGGTTGAGATGACCCAGAGCACAAGRGTGAGGCTGCCCGTGGCAGCTGTGCCCCGTCCCTCTCCTTTCCAGCCCAYGGAAGTTGAAGATTCCATTTTTAGAAGTTGCCTGAAGGAGTGCAAATCCCACACTTTATTATTATTTTTTTTTCCAGTCGACCCACGTGGTTTTATTCTAGCTCAAACTTCACTTTATGCACCCTGTAAAACTGTGATCACCAAGGGGCCAAGTGACTTTTCCAAATCGCTTCACCAGTTGGGGCCAATCTCATACTAGAGGTTGCAGCTCAAGTGTACGTTTGTGTGTTTGTAATGTTGAGAAGTTGAACTTCACGGGCTGGGGTTGTGGCTCAGTGGAAGGGGGGACTCGGGTTGTGGCTCAGCGGTAGAGTGCTCCCCTAGCATAAAGGAGGCCCTGGGTTCAATCCTCAACACCACATAAAAAATACATAGATAAACAAAATAAAGGTATTGTGTCTAACAAAAAAATAAATATATATATATAAAAAAGAAGTTGAACTTCACATCTCCTGGTGCCTTTCAAGATCTGATTTCCTAGAGCAAGCTTTCCCAGGCTTCCATCTCTCTCACGGTCAGTTCTAGAACAGACAGCCCCTGGGGAAAAGGTAGGTTTTGAACCTGAGAGCAGGGTTTAGACTTGACTCAGTTACTTTCTAGCTGGGTGACCTTGGAAAAATGAGCTATCTCTTGGACGTTCATTTTCTTTCACTGTAAAATGGGTCTCTAATATCCACACTTGAGGCTTTTTGAGAGGTTAGAGAGAACCAATAAAATTCACTGATAAACGGTGGCTGTTCTTAGATGGTTTCTTAGCCAAAAAAGCCCTTGAGCCCAGGAATGTCATCCGSCTGTTTCTGCGGTCCTAGTGCCTAACGGGGACCTGGCTCTCAGTTCTCAGTAAATATTTGTCTTCAGAGAACAATAACTAGGAACGCATCTGGGGTGTGTCATAAGTTCCTTTGTACTCTCCTTTCATGTTCTTGTCACCATCTGAGTGGCTTTATCCTTGTATTTACGCTTCACACAGCTATTATGACTTCCAGTGTTACATGAAGAAACTAAGGGCAGGGAGATCAAGTGCCTGTCCTGACATCCTGCTRGGAAGCGGGGGACCTAGAATCAAACCCTGCATAGACCAGCTGCACAGGTGTGCGGGGACTCCAGCCACCTTTGTTGTGATGCATTTCAGACAGCAGCCCTGGAGGGAAAGGATCAGCTCTGCCTCCTCCCCCACTGCAGGCTGATGGAGGGTGAGGGACAGGGTGAGGGTGAGGGTGAGGGTGAGGGACTCAGGAGGGAGCCCCTTCCTGTAGGGAAAGCTGATTCATCAAATCTCTCACCTTTAAATCTGGGCCACCATGAGCCCAGACTTTGGAGCCCCCTTTCCCCGTCTGTACTTTTCCTGTGACGCCTTATCACCTCGCAGGTTATTATGTGTGATAGGTACTATGTGCCTCTCTCCCACTAGAATAGGAACTCCACAAAGGCAGGACCTTTGGCTTCCAGCTTCAACCCCAGCACCTAGGATGGTGGTGGCTGCGCATCACACMAGCTCAGCATACATTTAAGTGTGAGATGAGGAACGGATTCGGTGCAGCTGCGCCTCTGTCCTAGCCCCGTCCACTCTGAGATCCCACGTTCCACACTCACCTTTTTCTGACTGAGTCTGAAGCTCTTGGCAGGTGAGAACCAGGAGAAGTAAGAGGGAAGCCTGGAAGCCCATGTTCTCGCCCAGCGGCGGCCCAGCCGAGCACTGCCTTTTTAGAGAGAAAGGGGACCAGAAAGGGGTGGGGATGACCCCATATTTTGCTTATTCACGGGGGTAGCTGCCTCAGGAACAGAGTGTCCCGATCACAGTTCTGCCTTTCTCCTCCTRACTTATCTGATCTGGCCACCAAAGCCAATTTGCTACCACTGCAGGGTAAAAAGCCCTTTTAACCATTCTAAATCAAGCACCAGATGCCTTTCTTTTCCAGGCACCATGGAAAAACCTCTTTTTTTTAAAAAAAGTTCTAATTTGTGGGTTTTTTTTTTTTTTTTTTTTTTTTTGTAAATTGAAATATGCTTTCCACATTGTCTCTCGAATCTACACAGGAAATCCTCGAGACTTAGGACCCCATGCTATGGTTGGGACATGGGTTGAGTGTGTGGCTTAAGGTTTGAATGGGGTCCCCAGTGAGGTGAGGTGGAGAGGTGGGGAGCCTTAACAGACAGGGCTTAGGGTTAGGAGATGAGGTCACAGGGTGCTGCTCTGGGAAGAGGTTAGTGACATCTCGTGAGACCCCAGTCAGTGCCCTTGACAGCGGGTTACTGCGGAGAGAGCACGCCTGGCCCCTGAGTTGCCCTGGCTTCCTCTCTTACCAGGCACATGTTCCCTGTGCCCTCTCACATGCTCTCCTGCCGAGACACTATCTGTCATACTGTGACACAACCACGAAGGTGCTCACCAGAGGCCAAACGGAGAGGGCCACCTCATCTTGAAAGACTTCAGCCTCCAAAACCGTGAACTAAAATAAACCTCTTATAAAATAGGTGACCCAGCTGGGCACAGTGGTACACACCTTGCACACCTGTAATCCCAGAGACTCAGAGGCAGAAGGATCACAAGTTTCAGGTCAACCTGGGCAAGACCCTGTCTCAAAACAAAACAAAACAAAAAATAAATAAAAAGGGTTGGGAATGTAGCTCAGTAGTAGAGCACCCCTGGCTTTAATCCTCAGTACAAAAAAAAAATTAAAATAAGTTACATAGACTTGGAYACCTTGCTATAACAAAGGAAAATGAACTGATATACCTAGTTTTGTAGATGAGGAGAGGTTGAACTACCCTGACCATTGATAGCAAGTTTCAGAACCAGGCCTGAGACCCAAGTTTGCCCACTCCGATGCTTTTGTGTCTCTTATTCAATCCACAGATATTCATCAAGTACCCTCAGTGCACTGGGTAGAGCGTCAGGTATAGCCTCTGTACTATCTGGGTGCTCCAAGGGAATTATGGAAGCAGCAAACATATATGGCATGAGGTCAGAAATGGCTACCCCCTTGGAAAAACAGCAGACTTAGTATATTTAAAAAGAAATGTAAAAGCTCAGGGTGAAAGGAGAGAGCCCAGCTTTGGATGGTTCAGGGTGTCATTCTGTCTGGAGACACATCCCAGCCCTGAGTCCAGGGTCCAGCACATTTCCCACCTGACTCCTCCCCTGGATCCAATTGTTTTTGAAAGGCAAAGCTGGCATGGCTTTGTGGGACTTAATGAACCTTGGGTTTGAAGTCTGAAGTTGTCCTTGAATTCAGTTACTCTTCTTCTTCTTCTTTTAATCATCATCATATTTCTTTTGTTACAATTATTTATTTATTTATTTTTGCAGAAT